CTTTCCCTATCTCTATCTCTGCAATCATCTGGAGCTGACATGTGTGGAGGGGCCTGAGCCAGGAGGGATAAGAGAGGTTGTGCACCTGAAAGGAGAGTAACATTGACCATCTTGCCCTGGTGCAGCTCCCCCAGGGGAGCAAGGTGGGGGGGACAGTCACAAAACTTATGTGGGAAAGTGCCCCTTTCTTTTGAAGACGTGCAGCAAAACAACAACACAGCACCCAGGGGAAGGAGTGGGAATGGGAGAGTCAGTGGGAGAGTCAGCACCGTAGAGGTAAACCAGAGGGGACACATCTCTGGGCTACCAGGGAAGCCAAGAGGGTGGCACTGCCGGACAGAGAACCAGCCCAGACCCCAGGTCTGCACCCGGAGACCTTGATCCCATCCCTCACCCTCCTCTTGCTACTCATAAGCCAAAGACTTAAAATGCATCTACATCACGTCCTCACACGCAGCCTGTCCGTGTATGTGTGCGTATACATATTGGCACTCACATATAGATATAGATATAGATTATATAGATATAGATAGAGATATAGATAAATGCAGATAGAAGCACACACCAAGTTTAACTTTGAGACAAGCCAAGGCTTTGGGTTGACTGCCTCACACACTCCTCCTCTCTCCTGACTGCAGTCACCTCTGAAAATCCCTGCTGCTGTGCAGCAGATTCCCCAGTGAGGAAAGAAATACTCTAAAAAGAAGGGCCTGTCTATTCCCCGCAACCAGAACAAAAATTTTAAATAAATAAATAAAATAAAATATAAAATTTAATAATAAAACAACAAACCAGGAAAAAGAAAAGAAAATTTAAAAAAATTTAAAAAACCCAAAACCACAAAACCCCCCAAGAAATAAATTTTAAAATCACATAATAATAAAGAAGGGATAGAAAAGCATGCCTCTGGCTTAGCTGAAAAAAAAAAAAGCCAGTGCAGAGCAAGGGGCTGCTCTCCTTCCCATTTCAGACACAGACCCTCACTGGGGAAATAAATTTTTTAAAAAGTAGGAGAAAGTAAGGGGGAAAGAAGCAGGAGCGACTGTGCGGGTGTGCGAGCGAGCTCAGGTAGGAAAACTTACATTGCTGGCCGGTGTGCGGGGCAGATCCCGGGAGGGCTGTGGTTTGTATCCCAGTCGGCCCCCTGCTCTCCCTGCCAGCCCCGGGGAGGCGAGCGGTGCCGGGAGGCTCTCAGGCGAGTGCCATTCCTGGAGGGAGGGTTGGTTTTTACTAATACCCCGGCTGGATGTCTCGAGCTGGCTTTGCTGCTTAGCACCGGGGGAGGGAAGGGAGGAAGGTGGAGCCAAGCACTCCTCAGAGCCAGAATACGGTCGGTCGGGGATGGTGGGGAGGGGATGCGGGCAGCCCCCCACCCCACCTCGGCTGCTGGCACGTTCCCTGCTTTTCCCCCCAGTGCCAGCTTCTTCCCGAGACCCGCTGGCATTGGGCTGCTCTTGGCGGCATGGCTACCCCAGAGATGGGATTCAGCCCCAGTAGGTTTGGGGTGGCTGGGTGCTGGAAGGGGCCTGGGGAAGTTTGGGGAAATGGGTGTGCAGCCCCAGGGCAGGGATCCCCCTTCTTTCCCCAGCCAGGGTAGTTACTCCTGCGGGGTCTGGTGGCCCCCAATGAGCCCCTGGTCTCAGTCACAGTCTCACAGGAGCCCCATGAGCTGCAATGAGCTGGCCTGGGAGACTTGCATCAAGACACTGCTAAAAGGGTACCTTCATTCAGACCTGAGTCTGAGGGGTGGGGGAGGAGATGCAGGAGGTCAGAGGTGCCCTGTGGATGGAGGAAAAACTGCTGAACAGTGGATGCCAATTTGAACCTTCGTAGCACTTTCGCACTCTCAGGATGGGCTTGTCACAACATATTCTTCTCTGTGGGGTCTTGCCAAGACAAGCAAGCTCTGCTTCCTCCAACGTGCTGAATAGCTCCTGAAGGCAAATGTGGGGTCTTTCACAAGGGAAGGGGAGGTCTCCTGATGAGAAGGACTCTCTCACACTCATTCTTTGCTGCTCATGCACTGAGAAATGTAGAGGATCTCAGCACACAAAGGTTAGGATGTTCTCAATCACATCTTCCATTTTCTAGCTAGCTTTCCTCCCCAGTTGCCTCTGGTAGTTGACTTCTTCAGTTTCCTTTGTCACCAGGGCTGGTATAGGCCAACACCAACCCTGTAACTATGACGGGTCACCCATGAAAAATCTTATGCTCCTCCTAGGTTCTCCTTGGTTAGCAATAAGATGAGCTTAGTTCCTGCCCCAGCTCCTCACTGGAGAGCCAACCTGAAGGTGCATCAATGCTAAGTCAGCAGATACAGAGAGATGAAGGGATGTGATGCATCTGCCATTGTATGGAGTAAATAAAGCTCTGAAACTATAGGGTGGTTGCAGAGAAAACCTCACTAGAACCCACTGAGAAGCCTTTACTGAATGGTGCTGAGAGGGAATGGCTACAGGACATTGGCATCAGACAGAGGTGCTTAAAGGTGCCTCTGCAGCATGGTCTTGCACACCTTTAAAAGACCTCTCAAGTCCAACATTTGGGATCCACTCCAACATTTGCTTGCTTTCTTCAGCATTACCTGCTCCAGAAAAAGACAGGCTCAGATACTCTTCTTCACACAATGCCTTTTTCCCTTTGGAAGAGAGGGTGCCTTTCTCTTAGATGCCAAGAAAAGGCAGTGGAGAGCCTAGCAAACCAGCCTTGAGATCCTGCTTCTTCCACCAAAGCAGAAGCTGATGAACCCCAAGTCTAAAAGCAAAAGAGATCCTGGCTCCTGAGTGGGGGTTGCAGTTATCATGAGAAGGGTCTTGGTGCACAGAGAGAGGGACAGTTTGGCAGCTCATCCTCTTTCTGGCAGCTAGATAACCAATGAAAATTAATGGGACAAGCTCACTCTTTTGCTGGGGCCATACAAAGTTGTCCATGGCCCACTGGATGCAGAGTCAATGATGCTGTGGAGCTCATGGCATCTTCCCCTAACCAACAAGATTCATCCTCAAGCTTCAGGGACCCTGCACATGAAGTGTGGGAGAGCTGGAGGGAATGGAGGGTTGGTCTCCTGTCCCATGGGGAGATAGCCACCAGTGAGAAACACTGCCCTGCTTGTGTCCTTGGCTGCAGCCAACCTTTATCCTGGAGCAGGGAGGAAAGATGTCAAAGAAAATGGCCAGAAAAAGGTGTTTATATGCTGCCACCTGCCAGACAGGACAAAAGCCCCATTTGTGCCTTGTTGGAAGAGCTATGGGCACCTCAGCTGTAGATGGGTATATCCCCAAGGGACCATGTAGCAGCCACACAGTTTCTATGACCTACAGACTCAGTGTCTCCTCAGATTTAAAAGACAGTGAGGTTTATTTTTCCCTTCAGAATGAAGTCCTTGCTTTTTGTCTCCCTGTCCTGTCTTCCCTTTCTGAAATATCTTTCCCTGTAGCACCTTTCCCCCTATTTCCAGCCCCTCCTCACAGCACTGACTGCAGGTGCATGCTCGTATAGCTTTTTCCAAGTCTCTTCTGTCTACGTGTCATTTCTTCTCTTGTCCTACAAAAAGGTAGAGGCAGGAGAGTGAGCTGTGGAAAATACACCTCCACTGCAGCGGAGCGAGGTGTGATGCTTTCTTTTCAGTCGTGGTGAGAAGACAGGCAGAGGGGAAGGAGATGAAACCACCCATGTTTCAGGAATCACTGAGGTAGCGTGTTTCTACCTCCAGTGCCCCCTGGGAGACAAGGACCCTTCAAGAGGAGGGTCCACAGCAGCTGCCACAGCAGCTAACTAATATTGCAGAAGTGGTCTTTCTAAATGCAAGTCTATCTAATGACTACTTCCTGGTGAAAGGCTCGTATAGCAGGCAACATACATTTCTATGGATGAGGTGCTCCAACTCCATGAAAAGGTCCTTTGCAAATGAAGCATCTACCAGTGAAGGTGGCTTATGAGCCAGAGACCTTACTAAGCAACAAATTTCCTGTGACACATCAGCGAAATGCTTTCTTTGGGCCTCAGTCCCAAATAGGCAAAGGTGGAAGGATGCCATTTCTCCATCGTAAAGGCATGTCAGGAGTGCAGTGGCTGAAACTGGGTGGGAAGTGGGGGTGTCCCATGCTAAGGTGCCCCTGTGTCTCCCCCACTTGCGAGGGTGACGGGCAAGGCACCCTGCTTGAGGCTGGATGCTCAGTGAGCAAGGTGCATCCCTGCAGGTGCACCTACTCAGTAGGGTTTCAGTGAAGGAACACCAATGAGATGTGACCATTGAGGTTGCCAGGGAGGAGTTTTGCTAGATGACATCCATCCCCTTCACCTGTGGCAAGGGAGGAGTAAGAGGGGAGAGCCCGTCCACAGCAGAGGAGCAGTAGGATCCCCAGACTGAGTGCCAGGACCAGCTTTTGTCCCCTGCCCAGCTCAGGGGCACAGCACTGGTATTGTCCCAGGACTGCCTGGGAAAATGGGAGGGGTTCCCCACAAAATCTTTCCATA